CCCCACTTTTCTTCCTTCAACAAGTTCAGAGGGTTTGGGGTTTATTATTTTTAATGGGGTTCAAACACAACAAACTCCTCACAGAACAGAGTGGGGGGAGACCGGGCACCTTCCTCTCTGCCTTTACCTGGGGGGGGCACACACCCCGGCCCAGCTGCCCCCTCAGCAGAGTGCAAGAGAGCCCCAAAACAGCAGCTGCTGCTGCTCAACCCACCTAAGTGCAAATGCTGCTGCCGCCTCCAAGACTCCAGCACCACTCAGGAGTGACCCTGTACAGGGACAGGGGCCACCCACTGCCCGGGATGAGCCCTGGTGGTGCCACACCATGGCAAGAAATGCCAGCGGGATGCTGAGCTAGCCCTGGGGTTGGCATTCCCTGGTTATCCACACGGGTAAAGCACCAGCTGCAACGGGCATGGGTTTAGGTCATAGGAAGGAGTTTCATTCCCAAAGGAGACCAGAAAAGATGTGAAAAGAGGGAAGAGAGGAAGTCCCAGTGCTTGGTCATGGAGAGGGGCTCACCCATTTCTCCTGGAGCATTGGCACAGGCAGGTTTGTGCCCTCACTGCAGCAGTGGCTGAGCTGACATTCCCAATCCCCTTCCAGAGGCTCCTGCTCGAGCCTGGGAGCAGGCAGGGGAAGCAGTGATGGGAGAAGCAGAGACGTCCCTCCTTGAGGCAGCTCGTGGGTTGTGCAGGGTCACAGCACCTCCAGGAGCTCCTGTCCTGCCAGCAGTGTGTGAGGCTCTGGGCAAGGCCACCAGGGAAGTGACACAGAGGAGTGTGGCACCAGTGTCCTGCAGGGACTGCGCTGTGCTGGGGGATTTCTCTTCTTCCTCCTTGAAGATGGAAGGTTATTTTCTCTCTTCCCCCTTAACTCTTTGCTGACAGAGCTTCTGCTCCTGTTGTGGTTCCTCCTCCCCATCTAACTCCAGTTGAGACCCAGAGGTGGCCAGCAGCAAGCAATGCCAACGGCAATCCCAGTCTGTAATCAATGTGAGGACATCTCAGCACCCAAGATGACATGAGCAACAGCAAGTGGGTACCTTCCTCATGGTGGTTGCAAGAAATACTCACCCTGAAGAGGACGAGGATGTGGCGCAGCCACAGCAGAGTTGGGGTGATGCAGTTTGGGTGAGGTCCAGCCTGGAAGTGGGTCCTGGGGGTCCCCACCTTGGCAGGCAGCAGTGCTGAGGCTGCACCCTGGGAGCACTGAAGGGCTGGAAGCGAGTTAGTAGCTTGTTTTTGTTGTAAGACAAGTGGCTTGGGGGACAGGAAGGTGGTGGTGTGTCCTGGTTGTGCTGCACCACCACGCCCAGGGGGACAGGACCATGCAGGGTCCTGAGCCGTGGCCTCGTACTTATCTTAAAGAACAGACAGAAACTGGGGGTAAAACAAAAGGAGAGGAGGTTCCTTGTGTCTCCTGTTCTCCTTGGAGCAGAGCCCTGGGGGCTCCAGCCCACTGTCCGTGGAGGGGGTGATTGCTCAGCTCTAGTTCTACTTTTGGCTGTTGTAAGCCTTGTGCCGCTGGTTCATGGGGTTTTCTGGAGACTTCATCCACTCCTTCTTGAGGAGCTGCTTGAGCTGGGACAGGCGCATGTTGGGGTTCTCCTGCTTCAGGCGCGGCAGGTTGAGCTCCTCGAAGGCGGTGAAGGCGGCTTTCATCCGGCGCTCCGGGTGCCGGTCCAGGTCATTGGCAACACTGCCAGGAGGGAATTCAGAGGGAGCCACAAGTCAGAGCCACCTCCAGCAGCACCACTGAACCCCTGTCAGCACAACCAAGTGCCTACAGAGTAACTTGGGTGATAAAGCAGGAAGCCCCGTGATACTCCTCCCACCCACTCCAAATACCCTCCACAGAACAAGAGGCCAAGGGACAGGTCCTGTTCTTGCTGTTGAGATAGGAAGTGACAATCAGAGAATAAAGAGGAGCCAGATCTTGGGGAGGATCTGCAAGGATTTCTCCGATGGGAAGCAACACCTTCAAATGAGAGCACTGCTGTGATACAGCCACGTACCTGAGGACAGCAATGGCATCTTCGATCGTCCTGGCCTCCACTGATCCTTCCTCCAGCACCCTTCTGTTGACGTTCTCTTCCAAGGGGACCTCCAAGTGAGTCTTCTCCTTCTCCACTGCACAGGAAGGGGGAAAAGGGAGAGCCGTGAATGTCAAATCCAGCCTGTGCAACACCCTCACAAGGTTTTCCAAAGCATTCTGAGGAAACCCAATCAGAGCTCGGTCCCAGTCCTCTGCAGCTCTGTTCCTCCACCTCAGGGTGACAGGAGGTTTCTTCTTCCCCTGATCTGAGTGTTAGACCCAGCAAAACATGCAGCACACAACAGCTACAGGCAGCTCTTGCTTTCCAAACACCTTGTCCTTACTGCAGCAGGGGGGAAGGAAGGAAGACCCCCCTCCCCCCTCCCAGCCCCCCCATGGCCATCAGGGCCTTTCTGTGGTACCACCAAACCTGTCTCTGCATTCTCCTTCTGCTGCTGGTCTTTCCTGATTGTCTCCTCGATCTGGGCCCTGGTGACTTTGCCTGGAGTGACCTGCTTGGGTGACTTCCCCTTCAGCTTTGAGTCTTCCTCCTCCAGCAGGCGCTGCAGCTCCTTCTTGCGCTCCAGCTGCTCCAGGCGCCGCTTCTCCCCCCCTTCCTCG